TGATTTTTTTCATGAAAAAAGTGTGCCTTTGCACAAAAAAGGTTGAAAAACACTGGTTTAAATAACCTGTTTATTTATTTAGTTTCTGAAATATTTATTAAAATCTATTAAAAATAGATTTTTATATTCATAAATATTCATAAAAAGTATGAAGCCATGTTCTATGGGTATAAAGTTATATTGTGTGATGTCATTTCAGAGAAAAAAAGTGGTGGAACATTAGGTTGGTTTTCTTCAAGATGTGAAAATAGATACCAAAATACCCTTAAAATAAAATTGAAACTCTTATGTGTGACAAGTAAATATTGAATGTTATACAATTAATAGTTGTTCAAAAGTTCTGGCAAATAAAATTTAAATATGTAGTGCTTAATATTGGCAAAACTATTCTCCACTTTGAGAAAAAATGATAAGCCCATTAAGTATATCATTTAAATTGTTATCTGTGTACAAATGCTAAACAGTAAATATTAGGTGGATCAATGCATCTTGCAACTTGAAAGATTCAGGCCCTAAATTCATATACAAATTCACTCTGCACACATTATCTGCATATATAACCCATATAATCTCATTTTTAACCTCCATAAATATGATTTCTTCCAAACATTTTGAAACATGATTATAGTTATTGAAATTGTTAATCTTTCTCTACAGATTGTTTGAAGCAAAACACTTGCAACGGAAAATAGAAAATCAGATCAAAATGGCCAAAATGGTCCTGATCAGTGAAATAAATAAGCGGACAAATGTTCTCCTTGAACAGTTGGAGGTAAATAGGATGGTTCTTGAAGCTAAGAAGATGAGGCAGGAGATGCCAATTTACTGTAGTACTGATTGGTTGATAAACTCACTAGTTATACCAGTGTTTCCCCGGGTCTTACTTTCTTTTGGGTCCCAAAATAAACACTAGGGCTTATTTTCAGGGCGTGTCTTTATTTTTTTTCCCATATAAGGGAGGCCGCTGCCTTCTGCTTGCTCACTGCAGGGCAGTGCCGTCTCTGTGATGCAAGGTGGTGGAGCTGCGCCATGCACACCACACCAGCTTACCTCAGAGCTCCACAGCCAGGTCACCCAAGCTCCAACATGTGCCTCACCTCTCAGCGGCGACTCCACCAGCCCCATCCTGCAGGACCTCCCATGGCCACTGGCCCACTTCTTCTGCTTCCTCGCAGCCACAACAGAACAGGAGGCAGAGCAATGTGCCAGTATTGCAGCCATGAGCTGAGGTGGGGGTGAGTGGACTGCCTCATGTGCCTCTTACCGGTTTACCTCAACGCTCTGCAGCCAGGCTGTCCATTCCCTGACATCTGCCTTGCCTCATGGCCGTGGCACAAAGACACATCACTCAGCCTCCTGTTCTATTGAGGCTGCAAGTGAGCAGAAGTGGGCCTCCAGTCATGTGGGCTTGTCTGCACATGGGTGCTAGTACTGCCGCCATGAGGCAACTGTCGGAGCATGAATGGCCTGGCTGCAGGTGCCCTGAGGTAAGCCGGGGTGGGGCACATGATGCAGCTCCACCACCACCCTTCCTCACCTTGTGGCTGCAGCATCGCAAGCAACTAGGTGGAATGGCTGGGCGGGCAGCTGCTCAAGCTCCTAAGTAGGGCTTATTTTGGGAGTAGGGCTTATATTATGAGCACATATAAAACATGCTAGGGCTTATTTTTGGGATAGAGATTTGTGGGAGGGAAGAGAAGTGCTGCCTAGGGAATCTTGAGAGGACATAGACAATTGATGCATAATGAGCAAGGAAAGAAACTCAGAAGAAAATCACTGTAACATCTTGAGTGTAAAAAAAGATTCTGGGAAATTTCAACTACCAGACTAGTAAGATTCTGTTAATGTAGCCTTACAGTAAAGTAGAATTAGCTTATGTAGTTATGTTTCCTATCTGATCTAACTGGGAAAGCTGACACTAGTTGAGGGAACATAAAAATTGGATGTTTTGGAAAAAGCAATTCCCTGGGCTATTACAGAGACAGAGAAACAGCTGGATATTTATTAGATCTGTACCATCATTGAGATTCACAATGTCAACCTAGATTTGCAGGAATTTAATACTGAAGGCAGTTTCTGTTCTAAGGAAAAGAGAATGAATGAAAACTTACTTTTCCCACTCTTTATTGGTTAAAGCGTTAGTGTTTAATCATAACTTGAATTAATTTTCAAAGATTTTTTTAAAATTAGAAATAAATTAGCCAGGGTGCTAGAACCAAAAGTTCAGCCTCTATTGATAATTATATTTACAAGAAATGCTTCAGGGTTAGGGTTAGGGTTAGGGTTGGCTGTTCTATTGGATGCTTGCTCATCTACACAGAAAAAGAGACAAAACTAAGCTACAGTCATAAAATTCTTGAGATGATAGAGAGCTACAAAAACAGTTTATTTTTCTGGGAATGAATACTTTGGGAGTAGCTGTGCTTATTGGGCCATGCCTAAATGTTATGTGAAGAAATCACTCCTCTGTGGCAGCCATTTTCTGAGAATGCCGAGCATAGACTTGAACCATTTTATTTGTGCCTATTGACTTAGCAAAGGTTTGTACTCCTGATCTAATTTGTGGTTTTTTTATATCTCATTTTGAATATAGATGCCATTTATTACCAAGCAAGCTATATTTTAAAATGACTGTTTGCTTCTTTGTTTCTGATTGTTGACAGCGGATCACCAGTGAAAGGAAGCAAAAAATGGAACAACAGCTTCAGGGAATTATGATGTTAAACAGGCAGTTTGAACACGTGCAAAACTTTCTTAGCTGGGCAGTATGCAGTAAAAGCACCGTTCCATTCCTCTTCAGTAAAGAACTGGTAAGAGTAAATGCTCACTCTGAGACACTTTAGATGGCCTTCTTGTCTAAAGTGTAGTTTGACCTTTTAAATGAACAGAGGGGTGTGCTATAAGAATTACTCAGATTGATCTTTCTTAAATGATCATTGAAAGATTATGAAGAGAGAAATAATATAAGTAGACAATGAGAAGAAGGTACTGATAGGTCAAAAGTACCCTGTTCCTACGAATAAAATGTTTAAAAGGCTTTTTAAAGCAAATAAAAATAGTCACCCCAACAGAAGTAAATAGTTGTTAAGTCTCAAAGAAAAAATATAGCTAGTCCTCAACTTACAACAGTTCATTTAGTGACCGTTCAAAGTTACAAAAGCACTGTAAAGAGTGACTGATGACCATTTTTCACAGTTGACCTTTGTAGCATCTCCATGATCATGTGATCAAAATTCAAAACCAGTACTTGGCAACTGGTTCATATTTATGACTGTTGCTGTTCCCCAAAGTCATGTGATCACATTTTGTGACCATCTGACAAGCAAAGTCAGTGGGAAAGCTAGATTCACTTAACAACCAGGTTATTAACTTAACAACTGCAATGACTTACTTAACAACTGTGGCAAGAAAGTTGTAAAATGGGGCAAAATTCACTTAACAAACATCTTACTTAACAGAAATTTTGGGCTCATTGTGGTCATAAATGTGGTATTTGTATTTTGTATTTGTATTTATTTGTCTTGTATGCTGCCCACTCCCGAAGGACTCCGGGCGGCTCACAATAGACAAGGGAAGGGGGAAATATGGTATAATAAACATTATTCTGGAATGGCTTTTCATGCGAGACACATTGATTTTATCCTCATTTAATTACTGTGGTGGCCAACTTTGTTGCCTTCAAAATTCCTAATGCTGATAAAACTGAGTTAAATGCAAGATAATTTATTTTATGGTAAATGGAATTCTATTTATTTTTCTTTTCAGTTCATTATAGCTTAGGAATCTCCACTTGAATATGAAACCCAGCCCATAGTGAATGTAAACAATAATTGAAATATACGATTAGGTGCCCATTTCAAATCCTAAGCTATAAGCAGCCAATTATATTTTTATTGCATCAAACTATAATTCTCTGGTTTGTTACTAGATTGTTTTTCAGATTCAGCGTTTGCTGGAAACCAACTGTAATGCAGATGTGGGTTGTCCTTGGAAGATCAGATTCACGTGGGACCCGTCTTTTTGGACTAAACAACTATCCAATATAGGTAAAACAGTATATTGTATAATTGTACATTTTTTTTTTGAAAAAATGTATTTGTGTGTGTGACAGAGAAAAAAATGAGAGACAGAGAGTGGTTCTTTATCTCTATGTACAGTAAGTGATATTGCCCTTTCTCTAATGATTTTGTGGCCTAGGGAATGAGGAAGCCAGTTCAGAATTGTTTCTTACAGATCCAAAAAAGTTTTAGATGTGACAGAACAGAACATAATCAGAATCTAGGAGAACTCATTGTAAGAAACTGCAGGCTGGGCATTTCAAAATAAAAGAGCTTTGTTCCAGGAGTTCTCTGGAGTCACTGGAGGGTTTTAGATGACTGGCAGAGCCAAGTGCTTTCCTTTTTGTTGCCATATTGAAAATAAAACACCTCTGATTATCTTAGTGATCCAGTCTCCTGTTTAACTGATAAATGGAGAAAATATTATATTTTCAGGCTAAATGGCATAACAGGATTGCTGACAGTTTTTCCCAAAATTGGTTTCTTCAGGCTTCTGAACCTGGGAATATGATGACACTTCGTTGATGCACCCAGTGTCCTGATAAGCACTGGGACAACCACATTATTATTTTGATTATTAAGGATTTCCGTGGATTGATATTCTATTCATTACTATATTGTAGTGCCCTCTCTCCATGTACATTAGTTTAGTTCAGTGTTTTTTGGGGTAGATAATCAACAATGACCGCAATTAGAATTAGAAAAGGGCACACTTTAGACATGTGTTTTACGATATCCATTTTTGATTCCTGATGCTTAACATTTTGATAAAATATCAACAATTTTAGTCATATATTAGTCTCATACTTACTTATGAAAATACGTACTGTCAGATTGGATCAAATCATTAGTTTCACTCAGTACTATGTTTTTAGAGTAGAACTATCTTTCAGAATTTAGTTGACCAGTGCTGCTTTCCTGCTGCTCTTATACTTATTGTTTCAGATCAGCAGAATTCCAGGATGGAAAACTTTTAGATGGGTACTTCATTACACCTTCTACTGAATATGAAATTGTTCTGTTCTGGGTGTCCCAAAGGTACTTTTTCAAGAGACAAGAGTTGTTAGAGCTGAAGAAGCTTCTTGGATGAGAAGCAAAACATCTTCAAAGAAAAACCAGAAAGTTCAATCATCTCTTGAAAAAGCTCCTTTGGGACAACCATGACCTGGATGACTGAGAATCTCCATAGACATCCTATTGTGGATAAAGAGTCTTAAAATGAAGACTATTGATGCTATTCCCCCATTATTTTTGGTTTGTTCTTTTTAGGCCACTTGTCAATGGAAGGGGGCCCAAGCCACCATTCAGATGTACCAACATATGCAAGTATACAAGGAATGCAGCCATCTCTGTATCACCATCATGGCCATCATTCTCCAGTGCCACAACATGACCCACTCAATAACCAGCCCCACCAATATCAGCCTCCTGTCCATTGCCTGGCACCTATGTGCTTTGCCCATTGCCTTAATATCCCACATATGAACAAAGGGCAGCTTTCTCATCAAACTGTGAGCCACCCTCAGCCTTTCCGCCAGCCTTCTGAAATACAGCAACACCACCCACAACATTTCCCTGTGCAGTACAGCTTGCAGCAACATGAGAGGGAGCAGAGGTGTGCCCCACGGGTGCTGAAAAGCATGCAGCCGTGTGCTGAGCAGAAATCTCATCAAGAGCCTGATGGCCTAACTACCAGGTTGGGCAAGAACTCCCAAGAGCAGCCAATGCACCTTCCACCTATTTATCCCCTTTCGTCACAGGATGACCACCAAAGCCAAGGTAGTCATTCCCAGCAACTCCCTGTACAGTCTTCTCTTCACAGTCCAACAGTGCAGGTTCAAGTCGGTCCCCTCCAGAAGCTAAAGCTGAATAATTTGCAGCAACAGCCACAGCCACAGCCTCCACCACCACAGCCTCAGCCACAGCCACAGCCACCACAACAGGAACATGCATTGCCACCCCCACCACCCCTCTCACCTCAACAGTCACCTGCCGCAGGCCCAAATGAGAAATCTCATGAACACGTGATACAACAGAGCTTGGACATCATGCACCACCAATTTGAACTGGAGGAAATGAAGAAAGATTTGGAGCTTCTCCTTCAGGCTCAGCAACCCAGCCTACAACTCAATCAGGCCAAGCAGCCTCAGCATGTGCAGCAAACCATTGTTGGCCAGATAAACTACATTGTCAGGCAGCCAGCCACGGTTCAGCAGCAAAACCAAGAAGAAGTGCAGCAAGTGAGCTGACTAGATTTATTTTCTTTTGATTTTATATATTTGGTGACATCTTTGTTAACATTAATGAATATTCAATCTGAAATAGGGCTGGTGAAGGATTGAGTAAAAGACATTTAGCCCAGGTTAAAAAATAATTGCTTATTTAACCTTATTTATTAGTTTATTTGTAAAATTTACTGGCCATTCATCTTACCACAGGATACCTTTTAACCTTATTTTAAATAAATCCAAGTAGATATGTTTATCAGGTAACTGATCTTTAAGTTAGGCTTGAAATATTAAGCTTTCCATTGAAATTTATGTGAAAAAATAAATTTACAGAACAGTTTCTTATGGATTGCATTTGACTCCCATTCTCTCATTTTTTAAGGGAAATCTGCAAATATGTTTCTCTTTCTCCAGGTGAAGAATTGTTAGATAATTTTAATGTTTATTTAAGCAGGTTTTTAAAAAACTTTTTAATGTTTGTTTTTGCTTTTAAATGTTTTGGGCCTCTCCAGAACAGAGAATGCTTACCAGATCAGAAAGATGGAGTGCAAATCAAGGATAACATCAAGGAAAGGATGGCGGATTAATATTGTCATGTTACTCAGAACCCCATTAAACTGTCCTGTTTTTGCTTTCATGTGATTGTAGGATGCCTAGATTTTCAAGCTCTTAGACCACTATAAACCCTAAAGGAGAATCCTTAGCAAATAGATAGTTAGTGCATGGTGGGGCAGAACATGGTGTCTGACAAATCAAGAAAAGAAAGAGGCTGGACATGTCATTTTAAGGGTCAACTAGTATTAAAGTTATACCAAACTTTGTTTAAATAGAATCCACTGACAAGTGCTCAGTCTATAATTAGGAGTGAATTTTCTCTCTATATTTCCATGCTGTAAGGGGGAACGACCCATTAAGATGCTGGACTTGTCAATCGGAAGTTGGCAGTTTGAGACCTAAGTAGCATGTGACAGAGTGAGCTTCCATTCCTGCCCCAATTCTTGCACCCTAGCAGTTTAAAAGCAAGCACATGCAAATAGCTAGATAAATAGCTAACCCTTCCAGATAACAGTGTTCCATGTGGCTTCGGCATGTGGTCATGCCAGCCACATGATCACATATGTCTTTGGACAATTCCGACTCTTAGATATATAGATAAATAACCTTTATTGTCATTTTTTACTGCGGGCACATATTACAAATGATTTTTGTTGCCTGCTCTCAAAAATGTACACATATGTAACACACATATACACGTGCCCCCCTCAGAGGGAGAGGGAGGGAGGGAGAGGGAGGGGGAGGGGGAGGGAGAGAGAGAGAGAGAGAGAGAGAGAGAGAGAGAGAGAGAGAGAG